AGTATATTCTCAGGTTACAGGGTAATGATCAGGAAATGGAGCTCTGTAGCTGGGAAAATGCTGTTGTTTGTTATTTGTCAATCACACATAATATTCACACCCATTGTCTCACTGCCAAAGCTGATGGGATGCTTTGTGCATTTGTAAAGTTGGTGCATTGTTGTCAAGTACCAGTCTTTTACGCATTTTACAGGGTTGCTGGCAGCATATCCTTGTGGGAAATAATAATTTGGATACATTTACTACTTTGAATCACAATAAAAAGACACTAAATGAGACTTTGATTTTATAGGAGTCTGCAGGGTTTTACTGTGTTTCTCACAACAAAGCTCAAACTGAAAATGAGCATGAATATAAATGAAGATTTATGATTTTGAAAGCACAAATAAAACCCGGAGAATTTACGTTTACCGAAAAGTTGTATAATATTTAATTGAAAAACATGAGTATGTTTTCAATAAATGTAATGCAATACACTTCAAATTTCTCTACCGATTTGTTTTCTATCTCATATTTCTGCAAATTATGGAAAGATTGCTTTACGTGCAAAAAGATCCCCCAGTTTAAGACCAGGAGGACAGCACAAACGGAACCTGTGAAGGTAAAATCTGTATCAAAATGCTGATCCGTCTGCTGTGGTGACCCACTGGGAACGGTGGAAAGTACCAAGCATTTCAAAATGTGGAAATTCTTTTTTTTTTTTGCATCACCTTTATCAACGCTGTAAGCATTTGGAAAGTGCTCAGAGCATTTACTGGAGCCTTAAAAAGTGAAATATTTTTCATTCATTTTTAATGTAGGTATAGATTTGAGAAGCTCACCAGCTTAAGGCTTCTTATCATTTGTTTCAGTTGCTTGATAATTCTGGACTGCAATTGGGCCAGTTAAGCCAGTTTAGACTTCAGTTAAGCCAGTTTAGACTGACTACAGATCTGTGCTGGTGCATGCTCAGAATGTGGCTGGATCTCTTTTGTTGCCTTCCTAGAAAATGAAATCATCTGCATGGCAGCACATGTTGCCCCGTGTGCCACACATCATCACAGATGCTGGTTTTTGAGCCGTGCCCTGCTTGTCGCTCACATACAGAGGTTATTCTTTTGTCCAACTATCGAAGCTTTTCATTTGAGTATTACCTGTTAGCAGGAAAACCAAATTACCTGGGAGATCAATACTTTTATCAAATGTGTGGGGGAAATAATTTGCACAACATCACAGCTGAAACATGCCCCGGGTCACTGCTCAAATAAACACGTGAATCCAGTGCCAGCAGCATTCACGTGTTAAGTTGCATTCGCCAAAGAGGAAGGTTATTCAGTTACAAATCGAACACATTGCTCTGGGGTTTCCAAGCTTTCATAAATGATACGCTGTTCTTAAGCAAATGCACCCACATCCCAAAAATGCATCACGTTCACAAGTGGTCACGTAGACTTGTTGTGCAAACTGAACAGTGCAAAATAAATCCTCAAGGGTTACAATTATTATTTCTTGAGACTTCCTTTTACTGCGGCTTCGTGATATTTGCCCCATAAAACGAATGCCATAAAAACACAGCGTCGATGCTGTTTTTCATGTAGTGCACTCAAAAGGAAATAGAGCCTCCTGCTGTGTTTACCTTAGAGTCACTTATCAACCAAGGATTAAATGTTTACTGACATGGGCAAGGAAACCTGGGGTGAATAATTAGCCAGAAGTGGGCTGCTGATGGGAAGATGTGCCACGTGGCTGACACACTTTTCAGTTTGCTTCTGTCATTGAGGCAGCTTCATGACCAAAATGGCAGTGTGTGTGTGTGTGTGTGTGTGTGTGTGTGTGTGTGTGTGTGTGTGTGTGTGTGTGTGTGTGTTTGTTTTGTCTTTACAGGAACCTTAAGGAAGTAACAGCAGTTTTTGTTGAGTTTTCTTCTTATGATTGCTCACTTATGTTGAAAATGGTGCAATAGATACCCTATTACACAAAAATCTGATTCCCATTGTGGTAATTATCTTTAGCCTATGGGAGTGTCTGTCTTAGCTGGGGTAAGACTCCCAACACGTATGTGGTTCACATTTGAGTATACTTCCTAGTTCTTGAAATGACTGATAAGTAAAACTTTATCTGTGGCTACAAACCTGAAGGAATTGAAAAAAGAAAAAAAGTCAACAAAAGGAGTCAAAAGAGTGAGTCATAAACGAATTCTTCCTTAAGGGAAACCTGTTCACATTTATTAACTTCCTGTTAATAATAGGTATAACTATACTTCCAAGAATCAAAGGTGGAAAAGCTGCAGTCTGGGAATGCAACTGATATTGGGGAGAGGTGCAGCTTCACTTTTGTTCTTAAATAAAGAGTCATGTGAGAAGAACTATTTCACTAAGTTAATAAAAAAGAGTGAATAAAAGTAAACAATATTAATTAGATTACGATTAGATAAATACAGTACTTTGCAAAAATCTTGAGCTATTCCTCCTTTCTTTATATTTTCCTAATAAAACATCAAATAGGAGAAGCAATTTTTGTAAATACAGATTTTAAGGGGAAAACGGAGTTATGTAATTGTAAGAGCTCTTCTTTGGATGTTGGTTGTTCCTTTTGGTTCCTGTTAAAATGATCCCACATTGCTTTAATAATGCTGAGGCTTCAGCCTTTTCTTATCGTTGTCCTTCCTTAAGAATGGCTTCCTGACAGCCAGCCTTCCACTGAGACATTCCCGATGAGTCTTTAGTGAACAGTGGATGGATCAACTGAAGGGCCAGATCTCAAGTCTCGTGTCAGGTCTTTTCTTCTGTCTGCTGTAGATCATTTTTTGTTTATTAGTTTGTTTGTTTTGCCATTTCTGTTGTGCCAGGTCTTTGGCTAATACCTCTTTGGGAATCAACTTGTTGGCACCAAAATATATTTTTATGTCTGTTGAATGGTTTTACATTTAGTATTTTTCACAGATTCAGCTTAAGAAATAGGGCCAAATTGTATGTTTTGATCAAAGGCTGCTTAAAATTGGCCATCAGCTAAATTAGCCACTGAACACAACCCTGGTTCATCTCTTGAGTTAAGACCCTTTTTATGCTTGAATGATTCAAATGTCAGTGTTAAGTGGTTCAATAGGCAAAAAAAACACACCTCTGAAAATGGTTGGTTATGAGGACTGGATTGAAAACAAGCGTACCTTCAGAAACCCCGGAGAACATCTACTCAAGAGCACTTGTAAAAAAATATAGAATAATTTTTTTGACTTTTTTGAAGCAAAATATAAAGGCATGAGGGTTTGTTTGTTTTTTTTAACTTTTGCACACGGCTGACTTTAAATTGGATTTTAATAGTTGACTTTCAAGTTTATAGATGGCCTAGATCTTTTTTTTATTTAGTTTCCCTTTAACCTCTTCTGTACCTGTTTTCTGCAGAAAATCTTGCAGTCAGGGAATCATGATTCCTTACATTATTACACAGACAAAATAGCTAGATGACAAAAGAAAAAGAAAACAATGTGTTCCTCATAAATCAAACAAGCAGATGCACTGAGTAATTATCCAAAGTTAATCTTATGAAAAAAGAGACAATACTAGATAAAATGCTGTGATTCAATCCACGTGAGAAAGGTGAAGCTTGGCTCTAATAATGCCCACATCGTCTCAGACCTATCAGAAGAGCCACAGACCATAAAATGTTAGTTTGTCATGTCTGGGACATTGCATCATCTCTCTCAAGGTGACCTGTAGGAATGTCTTAAAGAGATAAAGACCTGGATGACCTCTAATTTCCTAATTCCAAATTTGGATCAAACTGAGGTTATTTTACGTTGTCCTAAAAATCTTAGAAACATGGTATCCAACCCAATGCTTACTCTAGATGGTATTACCATTGCCTCCTGTGAGGAGTCTTTGAGTCATTTTTGACAAGGATATGTCCTTCACTCCATATAAAACAAATATGCAGGACTGTTTTCTTTTTCCATTTGCACAATATTTCTAAAACTAGGAATGATGCTGAAATACTACTTGTGAAATGATCAGGACCCGCACAGCGTTTGAGTCTCAGTCGTAGCACCTTTATTTTAAAACAGTGTTTTCCACTGCTTTGACACCTTATGCTCAAACGGGAAGCCAGCTTTCCAGCTCCTTCCACACTAAAAAGGGTGAGAGTTCATTAGTTGCAGTCCCTCTCACCTGTCCTCCGACCTCCCGGCACCACCCTGTGAGCTTACTGTACCACCCTTCCACTGCAGCAGAGCTAGGGACCGCATCCCCGTCACACAACTTTATAAATGTAAATGGCCTGCATTTGTACTTTATAAATGTTTATAAATGTATTATTTCTAGGCTGGACCATTGCAGTGCATTATTATCAGGCTGTCCTAAAACTCCCTGAAAAGCTTTCAGCTGATCCAAAATGTTGCAGCGTGACTGGTGACAGAGAATAAAATGAGAGAGCAAATTTCTCTTGAGTTTCCTTCATTGAATCCCTGTTAAATCCAGAATTGAATTTGAAATCCTTCTCCTCACATACAAGGTCTTGAATAATAAAGCCCCAGCTTATCTTAAAGACCTCATAGTACTATATTACCCCAATAGAGAACTTTACTCAGACTGCTGGTATTTAAAAGTAGAATGTGAGATCCCTCTTCAGGGGAACCAGCTCCCAGTTTGGACACCCCTCTCTACTTATAACCCATAAGAGCCCAGAGACATTTTTATTGTCAGGGAAACTAAGTCAATGTTGAAACTTTAACAGGAACTTTCTTAAATATGTAAAGGGGCACCTATTTCACCGTGGGTTCTTAGAAGTTAATATTAAGCTTCAAACTTTAGTTAGGACTGGGTCAGGCAACCCTGAATCCTCCCTTAGATATGCTGCAATAGGTCAAGGCAGCTGGGGGCTTCCCATGATGCACTGTATATTTAATCAGTCATTAAAAGAGACCGTGATCTGAGAAGTACAAGCCCATATGGTTGCCCTTTTGGTTTTTTTGCACTCAGAATCTTTTGACACCCAAATTTGTCAAACACACGAGAAACGAACAAACATCGGTGCACATTCAATTTTATTGACCTATTTCATGCAGGATATAAGGTACATAGTGAAGCAGCAGCACATTCATACAAGAGGCTACTTCAAAAACAAACAAAAATGAAAAAAAAAAACCTACAAAAACAACACATCATGGCAGGAGACCCACAAGCCACCCCTCCCTGTTTCCCCGACAGCTTGTTTACCACGCCCATGACGTTTCAGTGCAGTCATTCAAAAGGTCTTTGCGTCAGCATTCAGTCTGTTCACTGATGCGTGCCTTGCTGCTCCTTTTTTTTTTTGCAAAAGCTGCTTCACATGTATTAGTTTTTCAAATCTGTCAAGCACAAGCACTGCAGTGAATAAAGAGGAAATAATCATTTAACCATATTCACAATCTATTACAATATTTTTGAACCCACAGCTGATTTGATTGATTTCTACATGTTAAAACAGCCATAAAGCCCCTGTACATTTACAACCGCTTCAAGGCCACCGAAATTTCCCCAAAACACTCTTCAAAGCTAGAAAACAAACAAAGGTCACATACGTAGACTTACTTACTGCTCCTCATAATGCTTCACTGAAGCTACATTAGTCTTATACTTACACTGAAATATTCAAAATTAAGACGCCAAGATCCATTTGATAAAATGGGAATTGTCTTGACATCATTTTATGAAATTTTAGTCTGCGGCTGCCTTGTCCAAGCTGCTTTCCCTTTAGCCTTTCACATAAAAAGGAAGCAAGCAAAAAGTTAAGCAATGCGTCTTAAACTCATCTAAATGTGGCTTTGAACAAGTTACATTTGCTTCTTATAAACACATAATGAGTCTAAAAGGTTTGCAGAAACAAGTGAGTATCATTAAGAATACAACTTATTGTAGGATTTGTAATGTATAGCACTGGTGCCGTGGTTTCCTTAACGGCTGTGAATGGACTTGGGGTGAATCTGGAGCCGAGCCTTGGTGGCCAGGGCTGCCTTGCGCGTCATGGTGGTGCAGCGGGTCAGGATCTCCTCTGTTTTGGGTCGGGGAGGTACCCTGGGGACGACTGAGGCGTTGCTGCTGCCTTTGGACTTGACAGACCCAGAACTCTCTGAGCCGCTGTTGAAGCTGACGCCGTCTAAGAGGCTGGGATCGGGGCTGCTGCGCGAGCTGTCGGGCTGTTGCGTGGCTGCAGGGTGGTCTGCGTGGCTCTGCGCCTCCTCCCTCAGACTGGAGGACGAGTCACTGCTTGAGGAGAACTCAGAGAGAATGGAATCAGAGCTGATTTGGCTCATGATGCTCGGGTGACTGTTTGAGGCTGGGGCTTCCCTCTCCTCCTCTCCCTGAGGCCAGGGATCGGAGAGGACATCAAGAGATCGAGCCTTGTGGAGACGTGCTGGCTCAAACATTTGTCTGGAGGGGCCAGCAGAATTCTGGTGTAGGTCATCTTCTTCGTGGATACTGGGAGGGTAGGGAGCCTGGCGATCCCTGCTGGCTGTTGCCAGATTCAGAGAGGAGCTATGCAGCCTGTTGTGCAGCCCATAAAGGCCGGCCCTAGGGTTGTTGTATGGCTTCAGGTACATGGTTGGGATGTAGCCTACTCTGCCATTGAATCTGTAGAGAACAAAACATGATGTAATTCAAACCTGTTAAAAATAATTAAATTGTCTACAAACTGCTATACTATTAAATGTGGACTTTCTAGTTTTCTAAGTAGAAGATGATAAGTTTATCATTTGCAAACAGACAAGACCGACATACCTAATGAGCCACCAGCCGTTGTCAGACTTCCTCAGCACCTCAACCACAGAGCCAATGGGCACGGAGATCTCATCAACCTTCTTAGACGTGTAACTTCTCACAGCACAGTACAGAGCACCTAAAAGTCACAGGCAAGAGAAAAAAAGCTTGAGCAACAAAGCAGAGCTGAAAAGTGGTCAAATAAGTCGCCTAAAATGCAAAAACAGCATCTAGATTTTTATTAAAAGGAAACATGCACTGATGAAAATGGCTGAAGACAGCTCTCTAGTGTTGGCTATTTGTAACAACAAGGCAAAGCTTCATCAGCACATATGTGGAACCTGCTCACAGGCATGCTCATTTATGTTGTAAATGTGTATCCAGTGCACTCTTTGAAGTCAAACTTTCCAGCGCAACGCAAGTACACACCTCTCAGCTGAAGCTCATCTTCATCGTCATCGTCGTCGCCTTCCGACAGCTCCAGATACGGAGCGGGAAACCAAGCCAGGCGCTTATCTTCATTCTCCACAAGCCACCAGCCTGGAGATGAATTAAAAAAATTAGCATGAGACTCTCTTGTTTAGTAGAAAGATAAGAGTCTCTTCAATAAAAATGCATAAATTTGAAAGCACTGACCTGCAGGGTCTTTGATCAGGACGTCCAGCTTCTCGTCCTTGGCCACCTTGAACGGGCGGTTCTTGGTGTCCTTTGTCTCATAGGCAGCCACGCAGTGGTATGTCTGGGTCACAAAAGGGTTAGTGATGCTGCCTCCATGGTGAAAGTGGTGGGCAGATCTGCCTCCTCCTCCACCTGACTCGTCATTCTGATCATCAGAAAGCAGCATCATGACACTGTATAGAAGAAAATTTATGTTACCAAAAATGGTCAAAGCTCTTATCTGCCCCTCACAGTTTCCCACTGGGCTGGGAGCATACCTGTTCTTGGTGTAGTCTGGCTGCAGGTCATGGTCTTTGGGGGTGAAGAAGCGGGTGACCTCGATGCTCCTGGTCACGCTTTGGTCACACTTCAGCAGTTTTTCGAGGTAGCTTTCCAAGAACTTCATCCGTCGGACTGACTTCTTGGAGCCTTTCTTTTGCACGCTGCTCCTCCTGGCTTTCCCTGGAAAGAAGATGAGACAAAAACAAAAAAAAACTATCAAGACATGATTTGCAGAGGAGCAAAGTTAAAATAAAAAAAAAAGAGCTAAATGACAGCTCCACTAGTGTTTTACTCAAATTCTGAGAGACTGAGCTGCTAAATTAACCCAGGTTTGGAGGTTTGGAGACATGCTTAACTAACTTTACTCAAACCTTCCTCTAGTTGGAAGAGGGCTTCTGAATTTCATCCGATTAACTCAACACACATCAACAACAGCAGGTGAATCAGTCTCACCTGTGAACTTTGGGATCATTCTGTCGTCTTTCCGGAAAGGGTTCAGATTAGGAAATCTCCTTTTTAGTTGTTTCTGTTGAAAATTTAAAAAAAAATTAATTAAATACACATTTAGCCTCAATTATTTTAAAAGATCCGATACAAAGCAGCCAAGATCAGTCCCAATAGTAATAAATATAATAATAATAAGAAGAAGAAGAACAGATGAGCTTATATATATTTTTTTGTTCCTTACATGAAATTCCTTGAAATCCTGGAATGATCTGTAGATAATAATTTCATTCTGGTCAGACCAGAGCACAGACAGCATGAACATCTGTGGAGGGGGATTAAAAAATCAAAATCAGCCCAAACTGTCAATTTTTACCCGTTTATTCATTTTATTGTATTTTTAAAGCTAATGTCTGGTCTTAGCTCACCCTGAGTTTCGGTGCGTCCCTGTGAACACCTCCAATGATGCGGGCGCTGAAAACAAAGCGATGTTCGTCAGCCATCGTTTGGCACTTCACGTCTCAGCTCAAAGGATGAGTAGCTGCTTCTTTTCTGACCTCAGGTATGCCGGTAGGAGAGCCAACTGCTGCTTAATATACAGTCAAGGGGCGGGGGAGGGGGCGGGGCGGGGGCGTGGTCTGAGAGGAAGGATGCCAGCATCCCAGCGCGTGAACAGAAACAGCTGTAAGAATCACAAACGGTGTAGGAGAAGCCCAAATGGAGTACGTGGTGCATGAAATGGGAATGAAAAGAAAGTCAAAAAAGCCACTATTATGTGTTTATTTTTATTTTATAAAAAAAAAAACGAGATAAGTGAAGAGTGGGTGCATATACCGTAAAGGCATGATACAAATAGCTCACATATTTGACCCTTGAAGCAGGTTTATTGACAATATTATGATTATTATTACATTTCCAGCTGCTCCGCTCCCGTCTTCCTTAGTCTTCCTGGAATCCTTTACATCCTCAGCTCTCATAATTACAACATTTTTGCACGTGCAGCCGCTTCACGTTTATCACCTGGCAGTAATATCCCCTTATCAGTAACAAGTGCAGAGAGCTGCAGGGCTAGGTGTGTGTGTGTGTCTGTTGAGGCTGACTGAACAGGTAAAGGTGTGTGTGTGTGTGTGTGTGTGTGTGTGTGTGTGTGTGTTTTGTGGGGAACAGGTGTTTCTTCAAAGTGAAGATAGCATGAAAGGGCCGGAGTCAGAGGGGGTTACCCCGACCAGTCTTGAGACAGTGCAGTACTGGTATGAAGCAATGCCAATCCTTTGTCTCAAACACACACACACACACACACACACACACACACACACACACACACACGCACTGCTTTATGATCTGAAAGGTCAGGACTGTCCAGCTTTGTGAGTGACCTGTGAGGATGTCAGCACCTGAGGGTAAAGCCACATTGGGATTTTCAACAATAAGTGTAAACAACCGTGACTCGGATTTTTTCTTGTCTTTCTTTTTTTTTCTTTCATTTTTTTTGGACTACTCAACCAAGTGCAGGCAATCGGATCCAGGAATTGAGACACGTGTGCAAATGTGTACAAATGAAGGATGTTTGCACAGGAAATCAAGCACACAAGCTCGCACCCAAAAACACACATTAACGCACACTATCACCTAACTGCACCCACAAATCACGTGCACATTGGTTCTTCTCACCTGTCAGTCGAATAGGCAGCACTTTTTTAAATCTATTTATATTAAAGGCCTGTTTGCTTTCTTAAAGCTTTCTCAGGTATTTCACTTGATTTGAATGCCAAAAAAAGCACCAGTGAAGCCATGTGTGTGTGAGCTGTGCGCTTTAATACGGTTTTTGTAGTGTTTGCATAGCTGTGCTGAATGCAGTGGAGCAGGTTAGTGTGTTGCCCTGTGTGACAGCTTTAAAACATGAATGTAATAATCAAAACAGAAAGAAAGAAAAAGGAATGCACATTTGAGCTCCGTTCAGCTTTTGAGCATCACGCCCTGCTACTGGGTGCTGTGACCATTTGCTATGTTCTATTTTTCTTTATGCACTCTCTGTTTTTATGTTGGCCTTTCTAAAGCTATATAATCTGTTAAACAATATGCTAAACAGTAGACAGAAGAAAGCTAAGAGAGAGAAGAAAGCTAAAGGCAATGACCTCCAAAGGCTGGTCGCAGAATTGCAAAAACAAGAGACTGCATGAAAAAGAGAAAGCTAGGCTCATGTTTGCTTTCTTATTCATATAAATGAGGCATTATGAGCAACAGCAGGACTTCCCTAAAGTGGAATGCAGCACCATTATTGCGGTGAACAAGGAAAAATGTTTGTGTAAGAAAACGGCCTATGATTGAACAATAGCTGTTTGACTGAGGATGACATAAAGCGATCACCTATTTTCTTTGGAAGCTCCCACTTATCTGGAGGCTTCTAGAAAAACTTCCCACTTTTAATGCATTCCTCAGGACAGAGGCAGAGGTTAGTCATCACCTAATAATACCCATCGGCTTACAGGTGAGGAGTATTTCATAGTCAGTTCATAGTTCAGCAGTGCCATCATCGTCATTATCAGCAATTATCGGTGTGCCGGGATTTTGAAAATGAGACGAACAGCCCATTCTCAGGAAAAGTGCTTTTTTTTTTAGCCAGAATTTTCCACACAGTGTCACACATCAGCATTTCCTATGAATTCGATTGGCGTCACAATCCTCTTTTTGTTTGGTTTTACTCTAAAACAGAGAATTGAAAGGAGAGAGCAAATAACCAGGTGCACGGCGCATACCTTTTGCTTTCCCCTAAGTTACTGGAAGACGTTTATCACCATGGTTTTTATGTGTGTGTGTTTTTAACCTGAGACATTCTTTCAATTTCAAACCTGTCAAATGTATCTTCACTTTAGTTTCAGATAGTTTCCAGAGCGAAACATCTTATTTCAGTTTAGTTTTTATTGTTTGAAAATTATTTGTTTTGGTTTAGCTTTTATTAGTTTTTTAGGTTTGATATGTCAGATGCAAGATTTAAGAAAATTGATACAGGTATTACAGTATAAAAACAAAGAACTTTTCTGTAGAAGTTTCATAAAATCTCAAGAAACATGTCCATCAAGGCGAGTTAAAATGAAAATTCCCCCCAAAACTAACAAACACTGAATTAAGCACATTACCTCTTTATTTTTATTTCCTTTTAGTTCACAAAATCATTTCAGTTGGTTTAAATTTTCCTCAAAAGTCCATTTTTTAATTTTTATTTTTATGTTGTTTTTGTTCACCTCTCGTTTCAGCTTAGTTTCCATTAACTACAGTACTGTAATAAAATGCAGCACAAACTGAAATGCATGAAGAAATGCATCACCTGTCACACAGACAGGAAACAAAGTGTGGACGTGCCAGTTGTCATGCTTTTATGACTTGCAGCACAACCGCTAACAAACACTGCCAAATTCTTCAAGCAGAATAAACATGTCAGCAGAGCGAGGCATAAGAATGCAAACGCAACCTCAGGAAACAGCTCGACCTAGACATGCAACTTAATGTGAAAGCTGCTTAATGAAGAGCCTGAAACATGTTCGTGATGTGCAGCAGATGCTTTGTCGCTTACATTCAACATAAGAAGGCAGAGTTGGTTCATAAAAGCTTTTGGAAGTTCCTTACAATTGTTAATAGAGGAAGCTGCGCTGGAAGGAAACCCGTTACTGTAATTATATAGCCACTGCCGAGAAGTCACAGGTACGCCCACATAAGGCATTGTACGTAACATATGCTCTTAGGATAATGACTCCTCAAATGTGAGGCAATGCTGGCACTACCCTTGTAACTCACAGCTCCCGTATTATATCTGTCTGCATCTGTCTCCAGGCTGAGTCATTTGTGAACGCAAATTCCTCTGTTACAGCAACACATTAATCAACAGCCCCACCTTGTTTTTGTTTGACAGGCCGAAGGCTAAAACCTTCTTGTCTCAGGAGGAGTTATTTTAAACCACTTTTATCTCCATCGTTGTAGGCGTTTGGTTTAAGCTGAGAGTGCAGATGCTCTATTTATGGTGCATTTATGTCCCTCTGCTAAAAGGAGATCATGCTTACTTGCAAAGCTGCTGCTCTGAATGCAAAAGAGTAACACAGAAATCCATGATATATTAATACATCATGCAGTTTGCCTACAGACATTTCATTTGAACATTTCATTTGTAAACTTTTAACCATTGTGAGCTCATAAAGGTGACAGGCAATAAAAAAAAAGTCCTTCTTTAGTTATTGTTAAAGACACCTCCGCTAATCTGGATTGTCAGTGCAAGTAGAGACATTATAACATAATCGGGCTTGTGTCACTTGTGGTTGTGCAAAGCAAAAATCATCACTTGTCGTTTTATGAGGATGGCAACATTGCCTCGTATTGTTGACCCAGATGCTGATAATCACAGATGATTGAGCGCTTGGGTGTGGCTGTTGGTTTGAATGAAAAAAGAAGAAAAAGTCCAGTTACTTAGACAAAGTTTGGGTTCAAAGCCACAGATTGGAACTTTTGTGGATTAGTATGAAACTGTCCAGACGATGCTCACATTCCTGCCCTAAGACAGTTTTTTAAAATGCCAGGTAGGTCCAATCAGAGATGTCCTGGACTCTTAACTATACAGAGGAGTGACACTTTTCATAATCATCGTTATCTTCTCTTGCTGCCAACTTTAAGGCAGACTTTATGTCTGAGTGAGTGGGAAAAATCTAAGAATAATAAGCCAGTGTCACTGGCTCACATCCACCTACAGCATTTTTTGTTCCTGTCTTTGTAGGCGCTTCTTTTCCTAGAGTCACAACCACAATTGCGCAATACCAAGTCATTCAATATTTAGTTTAACAATACGCACAATCCTAAAGCCACTTCTTATCTCTGCATACATCACCTTTAACTTTTTACCCATTCAGTGTTTGCTTTTTCCTCACATTTTTAATGGTCTTTTTTTAAGATTTTCTGAGAAAAGAGACTTAACCCTACTGCTTTAAACCAGTGAGGCCTTCCAGAAACAATAAAATCTGAACCTGTTGCTCCCCATGACAATGTCAGCTGCTAATAAACAACCAGCCACACTTTAAATCATGTCACTATGTACAAAAGGTGGCAAAAATGTGTAATGTGCAACCCGATTTGCAGAATTTTATTACTGAAAAACTTATGAACATATGGATATGGGATGTTTGGCTTCTTTGGCCCCCCCCCCGGAAGTCACTGCATTGGATGAAACATATGGGAACATGAACCTGAAACACTAAATCACCAACCCTGAGTCCTCCTGACTATCTGCGATACTGTGGGGGAGCATACACGTTTTGGAGCAGCATTTCAAATCAAATCAAATCACTTTTATTGTCACATCACATGTGCGAGCTTCACAAGCAACAGAGGTGTGCAAAAAATACAATAACATAAAACAAGCAAAATATAAGAATGGCTAAATCTGAGAGTAATAAATATATGTACAATATAAGAGTGTATGCATTACTGGATGTGTATACTAAAAATGTTTTTCTACGTGTGTGTGTGTGTGTGTGTGTGTGTGTGTGTGTGTGTGTGTGTGTGTGTGTGTGTGTGTGTGTGTGT